AGTTTATTGATTCTAGACGTTCGTGTTTAAATCAGCAATCCGATCATCTTCAGTCCACATGAGGATCTTTGACAGCAGCTTTGCGAATGTTATTCAACATTAGGCGTTTCTTCATAGTCGTCTCACTTCTATGCGACTTTGCGAGATAGATCAGCTTCGTCAATCGCGATATGATAAGTACGTTGATAACGTATCACAATTTTTTTATTCTTTCGTCTCTTCACCGAGTACGAAAAATCTACTTGAGTCTATGCTCGATATAATTTCACTACTAACAATTGTTATCTAGTGAGAATTTTAACAAAGTCAATATTTATCTAATAAATTCTCATACCTTTCCTGGAGCAGAGGGATGCGAGAGTCGTGGATGTGACTGACACATTTTTTTTTTAATTCAAATTTTGATCCGAAGATCGGTTTTAAAACCATTTTCTCCGATACCAAATTGTAACACCCTAATCCATCCAGGTCTGCAGCCCCTTTCGGACTAAAGTATTAACTTGGTAATCGTAAAAATTTAAAACTTTTCAAACACACTTTATTAATCCCAATAATTTTTCATAACATATACAGTACGGAGTATTCAACAATATTGCGGAAGCGAATTTAATTTTGACATATCATAAATCATTTCAAACTTGTCACATCCATCCCGACAATCTCACCCCATCTGCTGCCAGGATCACAGTGTTCTTTCTGTTGTACCTGCGTGTAGCAAATAAAACACACTACACGCTCAGCGGTAAAGCTGAGTAAGCATATCTAATGCGTCGAACATCCATATAAACTGAATCAAAATTCATAATCAAATCATTTGATATCATGCACACAATGTTCATTTAAGTCATTCACAGTTTTGGTATTGTTCAGTTCATACCAACACATTTTATTCAATTCAGATACTATTTCAATAGTGCTCTTAAATTATTCTTAATCTAAGGCCAGATCATAACAACGCTCTTAGCTATTCTTAGTCTAAGACCAGATCATAACAACGCTCTTAGCTATTCTTAGTCTAAGGCCAGATCATAATAATGCTCTTAACTACTCTTAGTCTAAGGCCAAATCATAATAATGGTCTTAGTTATTCTTAGTCTAAGGCCAAATCATAACTTCCATAACCAGATTCTTTTAAGATAATTATTGATCAGACACTTAAACTATCATAAGTTTAAGGCAATTGATTTCGGACACTTAACTGTAGTCAATTAAGGCAATCAGACACTTAAACTATCATTAGTTTAAGGCAAATGATTTCGGACACTTAACTGTAGTCAGTTAAGGCAACAACAATATAGCGATTGATCAACATTGGATCGGGCATTTCTAAACGAGTAATCCTCTAGCTTGGTCTACGAATCCCGTTTATACATTTTTATCTAATTCATCGAATATTCATGTTTCACAAATCCATACTAATATGAGATCTATTCTAGAGGTTTTCTAGATAGCCTTAACATCAATTTTTTAAATGTGTATACCTTAGAGTTCTTCTAGATACCCTTAACACTACAAATCATTTCATAATTATAAATGTATTCATTTTATTCATGATTCAATCATAAATACTTATTTTAATCAGTAGGTTCAATACTCATAATCATCCATAATATT